CAGCCAGCGCCTCTGGCCCCGCCCCTCCGCATCCAGCAGTCACAGGTTCACCTGCCCCTCTGCAGCTGCTCCTCAGCTCCAGCCAGGGGTTCCGCCCCTCCCTTTGATTTTGCTTGGGCTTAATCTAAATTGAATTAGCACGGGCTTTGCATTTGCACAGGTCAGGGCTGAGGAGGGCTATATATTCCCCGCTCTTCTCTGAAGGGGTCTTGCTCCCCTTGTGTGGCCTGCATGCCTGCAAGAGAGCTTGACCCCAGCTAGCTGGCTGAATAAACTCCACTTGCTTGTGCATCACTGTTCCTGTCCTTTGTGGCCGGAGGTAACCTGGTGATTTTGGACTCCAACATTCCCCTCCCCTGACCACCCAGACTGGTGGAAGGGCAGCTGCCAGGGAACCCTCCCCTCTCCTCCAAGGTGGTCAGCCCCACCCCCACCCCCACCCAAGCCTGTCACACCCACCAGCCTCTCCCTGGCTGCGCGAACAGGACAGCGCCGCAGCGCCCCCGTGTGGCCACGGCTGAGGACAGCGGCCCAGAACCCTCTGGGCTCCCAGGTCTCCCTGGGCTCCTGGAGGACCTGACTGTGCACACCAGGGGGAGCCTCACTCCAGTCAGGTCCAGTGTCTGAACTGTTTCCCCAAACACACGCTGACATCATGGTCCCTCTCCACTAATAACCTTAAACCTTGATTCAGGCAGGAGCAGACCCCCAGGTCTTAACAGCTGGTCGCCAGGACCAGGGTGGCCCCACAACCAGGTGCCCCCAGTCTCCTGGGCTGAGACCTTGACCCAGAGCCCCTGTCACTTGTTCTTGCTGTCGACTCCAGGGATGAAGACTCCTCCTCCAAGGGATCTGGAAGAGGCCAGGAGAGACCCCCAGGTCATGGGCTAGGTAGAGGGGAGTCCCTGGAGGAGTGAAGAAAGGAAGGAAATTGGGGCTTTAGGAGATGGAAGCCAGAAGGTGTGGCGTGGGGGCCCAGAGAGGACAGGGACAGGCAAGGGTCAACGCGCTGGACACCAGGGTGGAAGGGAAGTTGTAGGATACATGAAGTTGACCAGGCTTTTGACTCCACTGGCCCCTGTGACTGTCACCGGCTGCCTTGGTCTTATTAACAAAGGCGCTTGGACAGTGGCTCGGGCCACAGGTGCCTGATGGGGAACCCTGGAGCCCGGTGTGGTGTGGTCAGTGTGCACACTGGGCCTGGAGGCCGGGGCTATAAGGCGGCGTCGCTCTGAGACTGGGGAGGGTCTGGGGGGACAGCTGTGAGAGACCACAGGGAGGTGAGGCCACCAGGAGAGCCAGAGACAGTGAAGCTTCATGGGGCTGGAGGCTCAGTTGGGGGCTGCCTCTGGGCGCCCCTCCCTGCCAGGCCCATGCCTGTCTCCCGGCCTGGTGCTCCTGTGTAGCTGGTTCCCTGGGAGACCACTGAGGCCTGAAAAATACACCGGGGGCTCCGGACATTCCTTTATCCGCCTGTCTGAATCCTCAGGGAACCTGCCCTGTGCCCACTGGCACCGCAGATGGTCTGTGTGGGGTGTGGCACAGGGGCCTGAGGCTGAGGGCTGGGAGGTACCCGGGGGGGTACCTACACGTGGCCAGCTCTGTAGCTGGCTGGGAAACGGTCCTGAGTTTAGGGCAGTCTCCATACTGCAGGCGTGCTGTCCTCAAACACACGGGAGGAAGGGATGGAAGCGGGGAGTGGTGGTTAAGGCCCCTCTTCCAGAGCAAGGCCCCCTTATGCTGGGGTGACAGGAAGAATCAGGAGCCCAGAGAGGGGAGCACAGGCCTGTGCCACCTGCAGGGGGCAGCCCTGGGCCCTGACCTGTCTCCAGAGCCCTGGTGACTGTGCTGGGACATCACAGCACAGTCTGAGTCCACCTCAGCTCCCAGCCCTCAGCCCCTGGACACCAGGAGCCCCAGGAGCCCCCACACCAGGAGGAGGGCCCAGATAGGGGACCCATGTTGTGGGGCACAGAGGGTATGGGTGGTGTGGGAGTTGGGGGGCTGGAGTCTGAGGTGGCCACATGATCCGCCAGGAATCAAGGCCTTGGCTGCTGAATACTGTCTCCCCAGAACAGAATGTGTCCCCCTCCCCTGCCCCCAGGACCAAGTGTCCATACCCCACTCCCATAAATGCCCAGGGTGAACCACCA